GACTACTTGCCAGTACCACATACATTTCTGCAGGCATAGTTTGCTACAGAAAAAACAAAAACAAAAACACAGATATTTTAAATACTGAATATATGAAAATAGGAGAACAGTGACCCTTAGGCACTGTATATTAAATAACATAAAAAGTATTTAGAAATGTTGCTAATTCTGTAAATTGCTGGCAAATAAATTCCAACTAATGGCAACTCCACGTGTGCAAAGTTGAATTCTCTCAAAGAGCTTCCAGGACTGACCTCTACGAAGCAGATTGCCAGAGTTTACTTCCAAGGTACTTCTGAGAAATTTTGAGCCACCAGCCTTTTGGTTAATAGACTAACACTTAACCATTTGTGCACCAAAATAGCATAATGTGTTAAATTCATCATTCATTTAGAAACTAACTGATTTTAAATAAAACCTGAGAAAGAAAGATGCAATTTCTCATGCAGATCCCATTTCATTCTTTGAAAGTACATGCCCTATTAATTATTGAATTGGAATTGTATACACATATGGTCCTTCCCATCAAGCATTCATACCTTCACAAATTTATGAGGTTTTTTCTCTGCTAAGAGTCATGTTTTGTTGTAATATAGCTGCTTTTCTTAATCACTTCTCTCTGCTTGTTCCCTGTTATCCTTATTGAAAAACATACTTACCATTTTACACTTCTTTGCAAAGGGAGCTCTGGTGGCCTAGTGGTAGAGTGGCACGGCCAATCCAAAGGCAAGCAGTTTGAATCTACCAGCTGACCCAAGGAAGAAAGATGGTCAGTCCTCTTCTGTATGATTTACAGCCTCTGAAACCCCACCAGAGTGTCAGCTGTGAGTCAGCTCCAACTGGACAGCACACAATGACATCATTCTACACTCTTCAAGCAAGAGCGGTAGAGCCGCGGCTGTCTCTGCCTTTCCTGGAAACTCCTCCAGAAGTCAGAAACTCTGGGAAATTATCCAGAGTGGTTTATGAAGGGAGTGGGCTGAAGCTGCCACGCCTATCTCTACATCTGGGCTTTGCAGTGGCCTGAAGAAGGGAAAGAAGAAAACAAATAGTCCTTAGGAGACGCACTGCTAACTCAAAGCCTCGGTTTGAATCCTCCAGTCGTTCGGCAGAAGAAAGATGGGCAGTCTCCTCCTGCGTGATTTACAGCCATGCAAATCTGTGGAGTGTCAGTTACAAGTCAGTTCTGACTGATGGCAATGAGCATATGAGTAGATATCAAGATGGAAGCATACTGACATTTTAATAGTCATAAAAATAGCATATGTTCTTTTGACTTAGCTTGGAAAATACAGAAACCAAGAATGAATTTCATATTTTAAAACAGGATCTTTTACTCAGTTTTGTTAGAAGATAAGATGAAGCAATGCAAGTAGCCATTAACATGGAATCTAGCACAAATTACCAAACCACAATGGAAGTTCACTGAAGTTGAGTTGATTCTGTCTCATAGAGACTATATAGAAGAGAAGCGAGTGGCTCCGTAAGATTTCGGAGGCTGCAAATCTTGGCATAGGTAGCTGGCTACATCTTTCTTCTCTGGAGCAACTGATGGGTTCCTTTCATCTCAGCAGCGGAGTACTTAACCACTGCACCATACTGGCTCCTTTGAATGTAATAAGTGCTTTAAATATATTAATTGTACAAAGTTGTATTACCAAAACACAGCAGCTGTTTAAATTTTGGTGCATGCCTACTCCGAGTTTTTTATGTAATGTTAATTGAGTTTATTTTAGTACTAAAAATACTAGACATTGCTTACTTGTTTACTTCTGGTCATAGAGTTAAGAAAAATTAAAAACCTCTCAAACACAAGTATAAAATACAGAGAAGTGTGCAAATTGTTAAGTTCAATGACTTTTCACTTTTAACATATGAAGCATTCAGAAATTCCCTTGAGTTGCCCTTATAGTTACCAATTCCACCTTGCCAGGCTAATCACTCTCCTGAATTCCAACAGCATAGACTAGTTTAGCTTGCTTGGCTCCACAATCAACACTCTTGGCACCAGCAGTCAGGAAATGAAAAGACAAATTGCATCGGGAAAATCTGCTGTCAGGGACCTCTCCAGAGTACTGAGAAGCAACCATGTCAGTCTAGAGACTAAGGTGTGCCTGATCCAGTCCAGGTCATCGCAATTATTTGCTATGCAGAGAGCCAGACAATGACTAAGGATGACAGGAGAAGAATCGATGTCTTTGAGTTGTGATGCTGGAGAAGAGTTTTGAACATACCATGGACCAGCAAGAAAACAAATAGGTTTGTGTTGGAGAGGGTGAAATCAAGTTTCTCCTTGGAGGCTAGGATTTTGAAGCTCTGTGTCACATACCTTGCAAAGACACGTGGCTAGGAGGGACTGGTCCTTGGAGAATGACATCATGCTTAGAAGGGTGGTGGGACAGCACAAGAAAGGAAGGCCAATGAGATGGATTGAAACAGTAAACTGGGGTCATGACAGTAGGTGTGTCAGAGTCAGTGAGATTGGCTCAATAGGAAGGCTTCAGAGCTGTTGTACATAGGGTTGCAGGTGACTCGATGGCACATAAAAACATTAGATTAGTTTATCCTGGTTTTGTATATTTCATAAGTGGGACCATTCTATATTATGTTTTCAATTCTGACCCTTGATCATCCTCATCTTTCAAAAGATACTGTATTAGGACATGCCACATCCCTAAAGGCTCTACTTATGTTCAAGCATTATGTTAGCATTTTGCAAGCAATTTCTTGGCTTCACAGCAAATCTATGATATTGTTGTGTTGTTGTTGTTCTTAGGTGCCATTGAGTTGAATATGACTCACAGAGACCTTATGAACAGCCGACCTGAACCCTGCCCTATCCTGTACCATCCTCATCATCTCAGACATGCTAGAGCCCATTGCTGAAGTCAGAGTGTCAATCCACCTCAGAGGTTTTCCTCTCCTTCACTGACCCTCCATCTTCCCAACATGATGTCCCAATGTTGTTGTTGTTGTTGTTGTTATGTGTTAGTGAGGCAGAACTGGCCCATAGTGGACTCTCCAGTGGGTTTTCAGAAGCACTAAATCACATAGGAGATTACCTATCCTTCCCCTATGAAGGAGCTGGCAGGTGATGGGTTTGAGACACGTGCCATTGGGATTGCAGCACAACTTCTTACCACAAGGCTACCAGAGCTACAATCACTAAAATAACTTGGAATATTAGTTATTATTGTCAATTTATAAATCAGGGAACTGGGGCTTAGAGAGTATAATTAATCTGTCCAAGACTTCGTTGCTTAGGATATCCTTGGGATCACACCTTTACAGCAGCAGCGTATTCCAAGGCACACCTGTGTTCCAAAGCAGCACAATTAGCCCTCAGGTTAACTGGGCCCAGAGCACCATCCGTGGTTGAGCTTCTACATTACTACGAACTAGCTGTACAAATGGGAGCTCTGATGGCATAGTTCTTACAGAGAGTTGTGCTGTTAACCCAGAGGCTACATGACTCTACCAGTGCCCCCTGGGAGAAAGATAGGGCAACCTCCTCTCATTGGGATTTACAGCCTCAGAAACCCAAAGGAGCATTGCTGTAAGTGTGAACAGAGTCCATGGGCAGTGAGAGAGCTGTATAATCATGGCCAAGTTACTTGCTTTTCGATCGTGAAAGAGGAATAATAAGATTTTTTAAGTAATTAAAGGCCAGAATCTGTGTGGCAACCCTGAAGGCACATGGTTCGAACCCACCAGCTGCTACACAGAAGAAAGAAGGGCTTTCTCCTGTGCGATTACCTGCCTCTGAAAACCCAGCTATGGGTTGGTCCCAACTTGATGGTGCACAACAACAACAACGTTTATAAAGTATCCAGAACATGGCCTTTCTTTCTCTCTCATTGTCATTTGAGTCAGCGCCAACTCACAGATGATCCAGTGGGTTTCTGAGGCTGTAAATCACACAGGAGGAGAATGCCCATTTTTCTCTCATGGAGTCAGCAGTGGATTTGAACTGCCAGAGAGGGCCACCTTTAGGTTAACAGCACAACTCCCTACCATCTGTGCCACCAGAGTGCCCTCATTAAGCAAAATGTTATCATATGTTCATCAGAAGCACCTTTTTCCAGATAGCTTAATTCATTGAAATATTCTGTTATCATTGGTTATTAGTCTTTTCATTATTATATATAAGGTTTTAGAAAAGACATTAAGCACTCTTCTTCTTGGGTTGGTGGGCATTTTTACTGTGCAAGCATGATTTTATTAGCCACAGCTGTGACTTCTGGAAGATCACTGCAGCTGTTGAGTGTCTGGACTCTTGAGAGAAGCCTGGCGAGCTGCCACTTCACTGCTGATTGGCAAAGGAATGTTTTACTTCACGTCCTCATTTCATATCCTGTACAAGGCAACTGAGGTGGCCTAAAAAACAGCAAAATTCCGTTCAACTGAGTATAGTGGATCCATATAGTTGAGGCAGGGATACCTCCTATTGTCAGAAACTGGAAATAATTGCAAGACAAATTCATTACTAACGTTAAGACTCTTTCAAAATAAAAGCTGCTGGAAATGCACTGAGCCCTTTCTGAAGCTTAATGAGCATCTACCGTTAATTCTGGCCCAGGGAGTCTCATGATTAACAGTTCCAAGCAGATCATTAATCTCCAGGAAATGCTTAGTATTTTGATTACTGTTTGCTCAAGTGAGGGTGCGAATAATTTGGAAAAGACAGATTACATGAATTTGAACAAAGGCAAGATTGTTTTCTACTAAGTGGAACAGCGCCCCCTTGTGACTATAGCTAGTTGTAAAGTAGTGTAAAACGTTAAAGGCACCAATTTGGGGGAAAAAACTTTTATAAAGTTATCATGGGTATTGACTAGCAAAAGAAAGCCCCTTTTTTGTTAAAGGAGAGGGAAAAGAGTGTGTGTTCGCAGTTGATATAATTTCAATGTAGTTTTTCTTCTTTAGACATAAATATGTATATTCCCTTTTTACAATAAGGATTGAAATTTTGTTTTAACCAGACTCTTTTCTGTTCACAGGTCAAAAGCCATTCTTTCTTTGACATTATTTCCTTTCCAGCAAAGACTGTTTTAATTAGCATAATGTATGCTTCTTATGCAGCACTAATTTATTTGGTAAGTTAAGAAAACTATTAAGATTTAGAAATGAATGTAGAAATTGCACTTACTATAAGGTCCGTTCACAAGCTGAAGTAACTTCCAATTGTTAAAGAAATCATTTTACATTGTAAGTCTCCTTTTCTGATGAATCTAGGTCATCTATCATAAGCCAATTCTTTTATTTGTTAAAAGTTTGCTAGCACTTGACAATAATCTTCGGTTAAAAGTGTTTTAGCTTTCACTTAATTACAGCCCTTGTGTTGTGATTAGCTCAAGTTTACTATGGGTCTATGCCTTTGGGAAATGCAAATATTGGCGTATTCTCAATTACAAGTGCTGTGCATGACAAACGTTTTAAAGATTTTAGAAATTAGAGTTTGTTTTCTTTTAATCCATTTCCATTTATATTATTGTTGTGGGTAGGTGCCATCGAGTCAGCTCCAATTTATGAAACCCTATGTATAAGAGGACAAAACACGACTGGTCTTATGCCATCCTCCTAACTGTCGTCGTATTTTAGCCTGTTGTTATAGCACTGTGCTGTTCTTCAATGATCCTCTATTTTAACAAGATAGATATCCATCTCCAAAGGCCTGGTCTCCCTGTTGACATGTTCAAGCTAAATGAGGTGAAATCTCACTATTCTCACTTGTAAAGAGCATTTGGCCTCTGTTTCCTCAAAAATTGATTAGTTCATTCTCCTCAAACTCCATGGTATATTTTATATTCTTAAAAAAAAAATTCAATGCATTAATTCTTCTTTGGTTTTTCTTTTTCATTTCCCAAGCTTTGCATTTTCATTGATACTTTAAGTTTTCAATTATAACATACATAGGGAAAAAATTTTGAATTTATTATGAAGTCTCTTTATCTATGTACCACCTGGGTTGAGAAGCAAAACATTTGCTCACTAACAATCATTAATGTCCTCAAAAAAGGAAACCACTACTTTAACTTCTAATACTGTTATTGTTGTTGTTAAGCACTGTCATGTTGGAACCAACCGATAGCTGACCCTCTAACAGGTTTTCAGAGACAGTAAATGGCCCATGTTTCTTCCATGGAGAAGATGGTGGATTTGAAATGTGTACCCTTGTGTTAACAGTACAATTCCTTATTGCTAAGCCACTAGTTAGGGCAATGGGAGTTAGTGTGTCAGAATTAGTGAGACTGGATTAAGACAGGGCAGGATTCAGCACATAACAACAATGACGACAACAAAAATGACAATAATAAGCCACCAAAGCTGCCTCTATATGAATTTTATATAAATGAGATTGTACAGTATATATCTTAATTTCTGCATTTTTCGTCCAACATCACAATTTGTTTCCTATAATGGTAGTTTATATTAACATATGATATTCCACTGGTTGAGTATATATTCACTTATTCATTCTACTATCGGTGGGTATTAGCATTATTTCCTCTTTGGAGTTATTATGAATAAGGTTTCTATAACTAAAATTGTACAAATCATCTCATGAAGTTGCTGGGTTTTAAATTAGATATTCATCACTGTTAGATACTACCAAGCAACTCTTCAAAATGGCTTTAACAAATACACTTAGTCCCACAAATTATAAGAGGAACTTTCGTGGCCTAGTGGTAAGAAGCTGTACCACGATCCCAAAGACTCAACCAGCTGCTCCACGGGAGATGAATAGAAAATTTCCTCCATTGTTATTTACTGCCTCAGAAAATCTGCTGGAGGGGGAGCTAAGTTGGTTCTGACTTGATGGCACACAACAACAACAGTTGCTCTGCATTTGCTATTGCCAGTCTTTCCATCTTAGTATCCTTGCTGGTGTGTAGTTGGAAGGATAATATTGTGTACCACTGAGTCTGAACAAACCCATAACATGCCATTGAATTTTCAGAAGCAGTAAGTGACACCTAAGGAAATTGCCCATTTTTCTCCTGCACAGCAGTGGGTGGACTTGAACTGTGTGCTCTTGGGTTTGCAGCCCAATCCCTTACCATTAATCCCCAAAAGCTCCCTTATAACACTCAGCATAAATCTAATTCCTGCCCCCTCCCTGCCCTTTTCACTTCTCTGACACCAAACGTAGCATGCAGTGCTACTTTCTCTGCTTGTGGCCACTCAGGACTAGGTCTGATATATCACAAGTGAAAAGGACACTAGTCTTCCGAACAGCCATCCACGAAGCCTTTCTTTCTCTGACTCTAGCCACCCAGGGTCACATCTCACAGATTAAAAGGACAACATCCTTTAGACTGTCAAATAAGCAAAAGCTGGCAAGTTTGAGATTCCACACAACATCCTAACTTCTGATGTGGTGACAACAAATTGAGCAACCTCCCTTGACTCCTTCAGGATGGCACCAGCCAGCTTAAGATCCTCAACCCCGTCGCTCCCACCACCCATCTAATCCACCCCTATCCCGGGCATCCTTACTTCTGATCTCATGGATCCCAACAGTCCTTTAGAAAGAACATACTGTCCACGTGTTCAGGGATGTCTGTTACCAACCAGGAAGCCCTGGAACTTTCACAGCATTTATTACGAGAGTCTCATTGTGTGGTGCAAATACATGAGGTCTGATGATGTGGTGAAGTGATATTTCTGGTAAGTTCAAACCTTTTCTCTGTGATTGGTCAATATTGTAAGGTGTCATGAGGTATTATGACATGGTGAATCTTTCTGGACTAGATAGCTTCCACCCCAGAGCACTTCACATGCCAAGTGTTTTAGAGATCATCTCTGAGGACCTGAGGGGAAAGACTCAGTTCGTTCTTTGGGTTAATTCAGAACCCCTGTAGTTGTGTTCTTTTAGTGGTTTATTTTCATTTGCTTGATTTTTTATGAGATTGTGCACCTTCTGTCGTTTTTGGACTTTTGGAGATCCTCTTTGCGAATTCCCTTTAAAGTCTCTTTTCACTTGTCTATTTACAGTTATTTTCCTATTAGTGACTTTGTTAATAATCAAAGTGCATGCACTCTTGATTATATGTGGGGAAACTGCCTAGGACATGAAAATGTTTGCTGCATTACAAGGCATACCAGGGGCCAGTGGCTAAAATACTCAGCTGACTACAAGGCCAATGATTCAAACCCATCAGCTGTTCACAGGGAGAAACATACGGCAGTCTGCCTTCATAGCAGCCTTGAAAACCCTATATCACAATTGTTTTTACAGCCTTCAAAACCCTGTATCACAATTCTTTTTACAGCCTTGAAAACTCTGGTGTTATAGGTTTACTTGGAGTCAGAATCTACTTAATGGCAATGAAGAGGGCAAATTATATTAAAAAAACCTCCTAAATTCTCAGTTCTGTTGAGTTGGAACCAATTGATAGCTGACCCTCGAGCAAGTTTTCTGGGGCTGCAAAGTGTACAGAAGGATACTGCCTATCTGGACGTGAACCCCTTGAGAAGTGCCACCTTTGGATTAGCTGCACATGTCCTATTGAGTAGGCCACCAGAGTGCTCTAGGATCATGTTCAAGGAATTTTACCTCCCCCCCCCGCAGTATCTATAATGCATCTTTGATTGGTTTTTATGTATGATATCAGTTAAGGGCACTATTCTTCCCACCCTAATGAATAACCAGCTGACTCATTCCAATTTATTGGAGAAATAACCACCCTTTCCGTATCGTCTTGATATCCCATTGTTATAAATCAAGTGCTTTTATATATGTGTGTCTACTTTTAGACTCTGATTTCTGTTTACTCAATCTATTCCCACTGAACACTGTATAAGTAGTTTTGATATCTCACAAAATAAGTTCTGTTTCCAATCAGTGAACATAGTATAACCAACAGGTTTTTCACATTTTCTTTTTCTTAATTTTTATAGTTTTTCTGTTAGAGGTGTTATACATATGGCTCAGGTTTTTAGTCATATCTAAACATTTAATAATAAAGACTAAATCTACCTAAAATGAAATCTCATTTTAATTTATATGAAATCTAAAATCTCACCAGGTCCATGAGTATCAACTGATTCTAAAACATATAGGAGAAAGAGTCAAAAGTAGAAGCAGAATAAAGTTTAACTACAAAGACAGAAGAGGAAGAAAAGACCAAAATGGATGTCAGAAGAGACTCTGAAGATTACACTGGAGCATAGAGAAGCCAAAGCACAAGGAAGAATTCAAGATACTAAAGAGCTGAACAGAAGATTCCAAAAGGCAGCTCGGAATGACAAAGCAAAAT